ATCAAATGTAATGAAAATTTTGTCTTTAGGGTGTATACTTTCTTCATCAAAACACTGAAAAGCATCACTCTGAATACTAATCCCTTCTACTTGTATATCATTGACCAGATTGTTCGACAATAAAAATTTTTGATAATAGAATTCAATAAGAGAACGAGAAGGCCGGAATGCCCGCCAGAACGTAGACAACTTCAATGGAGATGGTACGAAAGTACCATCTTGTAACGGCGAGCATCTAGCCTCTCTGCAGCATATTTAACTTATTCCTTAGTCTAATCAGTTCCCCTGCCCTGGCGCCCCAAGCACCTATTCCATATAAAACCTTAGGCAATATCACACAGTTAAAAATCTTTTTCAATATACATGCTTTTCTATGTAAAATGTCACCATTAAAATTGCATCTATAAAACTAAAATTTTCTCAATGTCTCTATGTATACATTTAAAATGATATATAAAATTCAGTTTTTTATCTATGATGACACCAAGGTATTTTATACTATTTTGAAATTTGATATTATGCCCATTAAATTTCAATTTCGGTGCACGAGTCTTAACACCGCCTCTAGGGAAAAACAGTCCGAATGTTTTATTAATATTAAACTGGATATTCTCAATTTTGCTCCAGTCCATAAGTTTTCTTTGAACTTTAACAAAAGTTTCTTGAATTTTTTCTAGTGAAACACCATTAATAATAACTAAAATGCCATCAGAGTAACATATAATTTTAGCATTTAAAACATTAAAATCAGCTAGAAGTGGTTTCACTATTAGGGCCCAGAACAGGGGAGCACTATATGATCCTTGAGGGCATCCTTTATAAATTTGTTGTTCAATAAGAATACTCTCTGAAATGCCTGTAAAAACAATTTTCATATTCCTAAAATAATCTTTGACAACCGTAAACAAATCTGCTGTAATATTCAATTTTCTTATTTTATTCAACACGGAGGACCATCTCACAGAATCAAATGCAGCTTTGACGTCAAATGACACAAGGGCGACATGTGCCACTTTCTTCAAGTCCCGAATTGTCTTAATCGCTTTATATAAGGCAAGGTCTGCCGATCTCCCCCTCCTGAATCCGTATTGGCAATCTGCAAGTAAGTTCTTATTTTTTGCGGTTTTGCAGCTGAGGATGGTGGTTCGGTAAAACCATCGAAACTAGTTCTGTGAAAATTTTGAAAATTAATGCTTATTTTTGTTGTTTGACTTCTGAATTAGTACTTATTCGGCGTGTTATTCTGTCTTAAGTTCTTATTATTAATTACATAGGAAAGTCTTTTGACAATTAATTTGTCAAAAATTTTATCAAATATCTTTAATAAGCAAATAGGACGAAATCTACTCTCATCTTTTAGTAATAAGACCAGTCTTCAGAGCCTTACATGTATCGGGAAAAACATGTAGCCGCAAACATTTGTTATAGAGCATAAGAAAGAATGAGGGGTACTTCATGAATCGAAATTTTGCACCAATTTCATCGAGGCTTTGGGCAGACCTATCTCTAAGCTTCACTATAACTATGTATCTTTTCATAAGTGAAATCTGGCTCTTTGTCACAGACTTGGGAAAGATTAATATCTTCAACAACATCTTCTCTGTCAATAATTTCAATATTGAGTGTATCTTTAAGTCTATATTCCTCTTCTATATTTGACGCAGTCCTGTTCTCATTATCTCGTATAATAATAGATTTTCTAATTTTACCTGTAGCCATCTTGAATAAACCCTCATAATATTCCTCATTTTGAAGGAAAATCGAATTTTTAAAGTCATTTTTAGCCTTCTTAACACACCTTTTATATGAGGCCAGGCATCTCTTATATTCGGTCTTTCTTACGATTCTGGTTTAATCTACCAAGCCTTTAAACTGCTAGCTTTTTCTTAGAGCACGGATCTTTCCTCTAAACCAATCTAGATCTTGATTCCACCATGTAGATCTTCCTCGTTGTTTAACCCGACATCTTAAATCCTTGTTCATCTGCCTTCCAAATGTTCAACCAATTCATTAAAATCTTTACTTTCCCTTATTTTGACCAGTCGGTCCTCCATTTCAGCAATACTTTTCCTTAATTTAACGCAACATCTATCAATCCTTTTGGAATTATTTGTCAGGACGAATCTTTCTTTCTTTACACGAACATCATCAATTTCAACAAAAATATAATTGCGGTCACTGAGTGTAGGCTCGTCCAAAATCTGCATATTGATTCTTTCAGGCAAGCAAAATATTTGGAGAACATAAAATAAGATCTGTCCGTCCATCCCCTCGTGGAGAAGAAAAAGTTAGCTTTGAATCTTCTGTATTAACTGAAATCAAATCGTTTTGTATAATAAAGTCAGAAGTTAAAATACCTCGATCATCTATGATCTTAGCCCCCCAAATAAAATTCCTTGAATTAAAATCCCTTATAATGATAAAATTTCCAGCAAAAACAGATAAAACTTCTAATTTCCGGGTAGAAATAAACAGAGACAATACCAAAAGTCTTTCCCTCTTCATAAACATCAATAGCCACTATAACATCTGTAACACATTTCACAGAAAATTCAATTTTAGGATTCACGACCACAATGGCAGACCTGCCTGTATCTGCACTGATGGCCCTCCAGTATGTTTTTGATGTAAGCAATCTTATTACCAATATAATATGGTTCTTGTAAGGGTATCAAATCAGGCATACTTTCCAATATATTTTCAATTGCAAAGAGCCGGCAGGCGGCAGCGTTGCAATGATTTAGATTGCAGTTTAAAATTTTCATGATAAAAATAATCCAGTATAAAAACATCCAAATATAAATATTTACAAAATTAAAATCAAATATGTACAATTTAAAAACAATATTTACAGAATAAAAGAAATTCTCAGTGTCTCTAGATTTACCTGGGAGGCAAGGGTGAAAATTTCTTCTTAAGATATCCAAGAAACTAAATTCTTGTCAAGCTTCTTCTTGAGAATAAATTCACACAAAGAAATCCAATAAAAATGTTTTATTTTATTTACAGTATATCTAATCAGTAAGTCAAAAGGCCGTAACGATAAATAAAATGATCAAACTCCAAGTATAAAAAGTTAAAACAATAAAATAACTCTCCCACACTCTGTTCGGTATCAGAATTTGCTTTGGAAGCCTTTTATCCTTTTCCTCTTTTCAGTAAAGCCAAGCTTTTCAGGAATTCTTTACGTCGAGAAAATGCTGGCTGTGACACCGTTGATCTTTCCGAATCAGCGTAATCGGTGAGTTCATCATCTCAAAAATTCGGTGTCCTAAAAAATGATATTTTGTGTGCAACCTGCAGGCAACACTATCAGCAGAGTTTTTAACAAGTCGGAAAATCAGAGCTACAGCGCTACGCAAGACACGCTTAACAGCTACTGCACGAATGATGAATGAAAATATCCGCAGTGGCTAATCGCACCGACGATCCGAATAGCCTGAGGCTATTCGCACCACCTACGTTAGCGCATGCACCTAATCAGCCCAGGTACAAGCATTTTACGCCAATTTGCCATAAGACAAGCGGTAGCGGGAGCGAGGGTTGTTCACAGTTTCTGCTTATCTTTCTTCTATGCGATTTCTTTGTTAATTAATTTTTTAGTTATTGTTACTGAAATTTATGTGTTATTTGCTTGACATAACTTGAGGACGATGGATGTGACAAAAACAAATTTCTTATCTTTTGAGTGTGGAAACAAGTTTCCCCCATATTTTAAATTTGAAAGGGCAAAAAACTGTATGAAAATTAAAATTTTGCTGTTTTGATTAAAACGAGATTGCAAAATTTCACGAGGATCATAAACATCGTGAAACGGTATTGTGCAAATATGTTATCTTTGAATGCAAGGAAAGGACATATTCATAAACAGTCATCATAAAAAGTTATACTCATATTCATAAAGAGTTAAATTCTTTTATTTAACATAGGAACTTTTATGCAAACGTAGACCCTAGTCTTAAAGCATAGCACTGCGAGATTTTATTATTCAATAATAAAACTTATTGAAAATTATAATGTTCTTATATGTGCATCACTCTTTCAGTGTCTACACATGTTTATAGGTTTAAATGCCATATTTCAAAAGCTCTGTATCAGGTGAAGAACATAGGTAAAACAAAAAGACGAAGTCAAGTGGCCGCCATTAGTCGACGAATAAGGTGAGTACAACTTCGACAATTTTCCATAATTGCTCTTTTCAGAGCACCCGAATGCTATGCATTCAAATCCTCCATTTTCATAATAGCGAAGAAAATGTTATATATAACTTTCTCGTGTTATACACAGAGTAAGACTGGTGTCTAGGAACCTGATTGTGCGACTGAGTCGCTTGATGAGAATAAGGTGAGTTTCTGGTCGAAGGTCCAAATCAGTCAGAAAATATCTCTCCATAATTGTGCATAACTGTTGCCGTGCACAAATTACTAAACAATACTAACAAAATTTAAGTGAGGTTCATGAGCCAGGAACAAAAAAATACAAAAATGAAACATTAAAAATAATAATATTTTCTTACCAATAGAAGAAGAGATATTACAGACCTTCAAATCCATCTTCCATGGTCTTCTTCGTTAAACTTACTTATTCGTTGCCGCCCAACCGGTATAGTGGTTAGCGTTGCTGACTACCGTGCCGAAGGGTCCGGGTTCGAATCCCGGAGAAGGCATGGATGTTTGTATGTGTTTAATAAAAATTTGTAAAAAGTTTGTTGTTAATTTCAATATTTAACCCTCACGGATTGGAGGAAACGGCGTTCGCCAAAGTCCTCATCTTCTTTCTTCTTGTTTAAAAAGCAAGATTGATACTGATACTGATACTGATACTTATTCGTTCTCACAGGTGTAATGTTACTCACTCCCTGTTGCGCACCTTCGACAATATTCTCCTTGATGAGACATCTAAATGATTGAAGGGCTATTTCTGACCAGTGTACTACGCTGCAAGGGTCTAGCTATTTGAAACAACAACAATTACAAAACTGACGTGTCGGGTTTTTTAAAAGTCAGTTTCAATGTCGGAACTTCCTTTAACTGTAACCGAGTCGGCGTGTACTTTATGCCGTGTAGTGCAGTATGAAGCTCAGCGTGAAGGTCTTTTTAATCTGTGTTTCTTTTTTAATTTTAAATGAAATTTCCGACATTGAAGCTAAAAAAGAGGTAAATCGCCAGTATATACATTTTAATGTACTGATATATTGTTATAACGACTTTATTCTGCTTCAGGAGATAGATCCAATGAACATCCAACAGTAGTTTTGGTATTGCTAAAGAATTTGCTGGTATTTTGTAATTATTTTTGCTGCACAGAAAAGCATTCTGTGTAGGAGATATAAATTTTTAAATCTGACCTGTTATTCGTTTTAGTTACACTGTTACCTCAAAACTTTTATTTTAATCAGGAACTGCTTTAAAATGTGCCTTTTTATTTGCATAAAATTTTACAGAGTTTTGAAATATCATCCGGACACCTAATGTTTTACCGCTGGTATATTATATAGTTGTACTAAAAGTGCGATGCGAGATAGCTGAAAATGAGATTTACGTGTTTAAATATATGATAAGCAATTCTTTTTTACGAAAGTGTGTTTTTATGGTTGAATTTTTGCTCGTATAAAAAGGTTGGGGCTTGATTTTATAGATTTTACCGTTTTTAATACGTAAGTGATCTATGAGAAATTTATAAAAATGTGCCATTTGTTGACATAATTTGTGCAGAGGCATTAAAGTTTTATAAAACTTGTAGTCATTGCTATTTTTCCTTGTAACAAATGAATCATTGTGTATCATTAAGTATCAGATTTTATTTCTTGAGGTAACTTACGTATTTAATCTAATTTGTATAACAATACTTTGCATATTGTATCACATATATGCTTTGCACTGAAAAGAGAGGAAATCGAATGGAAATTTTCTTTAGGTAATTTTGCATGGTTCTGTTGTTGCGAGGAGGAAAGTTATTATCCAGTTTCTCTAAATTTTTACAACACTTGCAGATTTTACAGTTTATTTTCCCATGCTTTTGTATTTAGTATGCTTCACAAAATAAAGTGTATAATATTTGAAGAAATGATTTGTAAATTTCTGAGCTGGTAGTACTGATTAAAGCTTTTTAATTTTGGTATGTCATTTATCCCTTTTATTAAGATATGTATTTAAGAAGTGTATTGGTATCACTTCAGTGATGTGCTTTTTACTGTGAAACATTCTTGAATAAGTAATCATTAAATCTGTCATTTTAATGTATGATTTGAGTTTTGTTTTTGAAACTCTGAGTTTAAAATTCTTGTAAAACTCATTTTTGGTACATAAGTTTCACCACTAGCAGCGGAATAATTAAGACCACTGTATACTGGGAGTTCAACTTGAGTTCAATCACAGGTGAATGGTTTAGCTGCATGGTTAGTTTTTGTGGTTTTCCCCATGTGTTATGTTATTGTGAGCCAGTTTCTCTTAGAAAGTCCTTCATGAAAGCATATTTTCCCTTAGGCAATGCTTGTGTGCCTTGCTGTATTTGAATAACCTAACCTTTTGATAATACGTAAACTAGTTTATATCTTTATTTTGCTTTCTAAAACAGATCTAAATGAAATAAATTTTGAACTTCTTTATTCTTTGAAATCCAAACTTAATAATGAATGTAAGTAGTTTTGAGAATAAGTATCCAGTCTGTCATAATGAGAGGAAGTTTTGTGTTGTGGAAAAGATTGAAGGGTTGTGAAAGGTATGTGTTTGATTAGATTATTTATGCTCTAGATCAGGGCAGGCACTTGTTTACTGCCTGATGATGCAATCTCTGCAGATTCCAAATTCTGCTGCCCACTGCCCCTTCTAAATTCTAAAAATTGTAACGTATCTAAATATTACTGTAAATGCTTCTCTTAATTCTAATTTTTTTGCTATGCCTAAATTTTGCTGCCAGGTATGGCTGTACTGGTTGTACCAGCTTAGGCAGCAGCCCTGCTTTCAGTCAGAAGGTTTTGCTGGAATAATGTGTAAGGAATCATGTTTAATCTAGGATTCATATGTTAGCCAATGACTGTTGGTATGTTAGAACAATTTATTGGTATCTGTTGGTTGTGAAATATTTTTTTATTAGCAGATTAATGAAATAGGGTTTTTGATTTCCACCAGGTCTTGTTTGGCAGTTATTCTCAAAATCACATCATATTGTGGTACTATTCGGTTTTGAGGGCCGTAAAAAAATTGCAGTGAAAATGTACGCGCAAAAGCGCCAAATCTAGCAACGCACCCATTTAACAGCGTGCCAAATCTAGCTTACATGCTGATTTCAGATTGTGTAAGTTTATATAGTTCTATATTTCTTAAGATGCCATTGAAATACTAGTTTTTTTTAAATCCTTTTTTTGATATCCTATTGATTTAACAATTTGGGAATTGCCCATGACGAAAACTCGGCAATAGAATTTTGGGTAAAGTGCAGAATCACCCACTGCTTGATGCGTTTTTAAGAATTGCACATACTCGGTATCCATGTGCACATAGACCTATTTTCAACTTAAAAAAAAGGTTGATCTTTACATTATGGTAACTTGGCGATTTTTTGGCGACCAACTCTCCTACAACAACCCTCTATTTTTTTCCCCGCCGCCATTTTGTCTTCACGAAGTAAAGACATGTTTCTTTTCTTTTTATCTCCTGAACACTTCTTCCAACAATCTACTAGCCGAATTACACTTATGCTAGAAATTTTATCAAACAAAACTGCTTAATCATGACAAATATTCACTGCAAAATTAGGAAAAACTGCACAATACCATCCTCCTTATGCATTTTTCAAAATAAACACATACACATAAACCATGTACACGCCGACTTATTTTTACTTAAAAAAACATCCCAGAATTGCACAAAAATGGCATTGCGCACACTCTTCACTATATCCATGTATACTGCCTTTTCTCAAAATTACAAAAATTTCACGAAAATACATGACAATTTTCTCAATCTTTAAACCCGGGGTAAAAAGAACATATATGAAATTACCTGATCGCGAAAAAGTATTTACCCTTTACAATATGAACATTTCCACATATAAAATAAATAAAATATCCAAAAACTTTACCTCTAAAATCATTATATTACATATACACGTCACCAACGAATTCATACCGCAAAGCATTCCAAATACTTAATATCAAATATTTAAATTATTTCCATGCACGTTTATTTCAACTTAACGTATACCAAATCCTACAAGCATAAAATTCACAAAATAAACTACCCATTCATTAAAATATCACTAAACATGTACACGTCGAATTATTTTTACTTAAAAAAACATCCCAAAATTGCACAAAAATGGCATTGCGCACACTCTTCACTACATCCATGTACACTGCTTTTTTCTCATAAATTAAAAAAATTTCACGAAAAACATGACAATTTTCTCAATCTTTAAACCCGGTAAAAAGAACATATATGAAATTAAATTAAATTACATGATCGCAAAAATGTATTTACCCTTTACAAATATCAACATTTCCACATATAAAATAAATAGAATATCCAAAAACTTTTACCTCTAAATCATCTATTACATTATACACGTCACCAACGAATTCATACCTCAAGCATTACAAATACTTAATATCAAATATTTAAATTATTTCCATGCACGTTTATTTCAACTTAAACGTATACCAAATTCCTACAAACATAAAATTCACAAAAATAACTATCATTTCATTAAAATATAATTAAATTCAAAAACACACACTACTTAAATATAAATGAGCACCACATTAAATTAATAAAATTACCTTACAATCCTAATTACTTTAAACTAAATCATTGCTAATAACAATTTTCCCAATAATACCAAATTCCTTTCCACCTTACATTTAGAACAATGCATAAAAATAATATCCTCAAATAATTAAAAATACTAACTTACCTAATCTTCTTCAGAATCTTGATTACGTGGCGGATACACTTTTCTTCCTTCTGTTTCAGAATCTTTAAAATCATACTTATCTTTCAAGCAAGATACCAGGTAAAATAAATAACATAATAAAATATCTTTATTTCTGTCGCGCACAACCTTAAAAAACATTTATTACTATCCTTTTCAATACCACTAAATACCCATTTCGAATTCACTTTAGTTACGGCCATGGGATCCAAAAATTCACAAACACTATTTCACACAACACAGAATAAAGCCAAATACAAAATTGCCAGATTTTTTCCCGATTAAAGAACAGTAATTCATCCATTAATATCACATGACATATCCCATGATCTCTCATTTCCCTCACACGAAATAATGCGTAATCAGAACTGAATACTACTCACATTCTTAACAAAGTCTAACTAACCTAATCTTCTTCCGAATCTTCCTTACATGGTGGATACACTTTTATTATGGATTCAATAAAATTACTGAACGATTTTTTTTCCGAATTTGATAGAATTTGATAAAAAAAAATTCTCTTTATCACATCTACAATTCACTTTAGACAGTGCCATACAATCCCAAAATTATTCAACCCTACTTCACACAACACACAATGAAACTTAATACAAAATAATATACATCCACAGATACTTGTCCAAATTCCTTTTCCGATTAAAGAACCGTAATTCGTCCATTAATATCACGTGACATATCCCATGATCTCTCCTTTCCCCCACACAAAATAATGCGTAATCGGAACTGAGTACTGCTCACATTATTACCAAAGTCCCAGGTAGTAACCTTTATCGTCTCCAAAATGTCGCCAAACTACCAGTTACCATATTGTAAAGATCAACCAAAAAAAAAAAAATCCTAGAATTGCACAAAAATGGCACTGCGCACACCCTTGACTTTATGGCTGATCTTTACAATATGGTAACTGGTAGTTTGGCGACATTTTGGAGGCGATAAAGGTCTGGACTGGACTTACCTGGGACTTTGGTAATAATGTCAGCAGTACTCAGTTCCGATTACGCATTATTTTGTGTGAGGGAAATGAGAGATCATGTGATATGTCATGTGATCTTAATGGACGAATTACGGTTCTTTAATCGGAAAAGGGGGGAAATCGGGAAAAAATCTGGAAATTTTGTATTTGCCTTTATTCTGTGTTGTGTGAAACAGTGTTTGTTAACTTTTGGATCCCATGGCCCTAACTAAAGTGAATTCGAAATGCGTA